ACTATTATTTATAATAATAATACTTTTTTATAGACTCAGATAAGTTTAATGTAGGCTACTATATGTCTTATATTATACTTTTTAGTTTACAAAACCCAGTGTTTACCTGCTGGAAGAATAGCAACAAAATACGGAGGATTGTACCTTCATCAAAGTAACTTTGGGAGATGTTATCTGAAGTATGAACTTTTAATCAATGTTTATCCCATTTTAGTTTCTAAGCTTACAGTATTGTTTTGATTAAAGGGACAGTTATCCAGAAGCCCCTTTTAACATAATGAGTCTTAGGATGCATTAGGATGAAAGATAAATAAAATAAACCCCACATAAGACTGCATAAGAAATAGGCCTATGTTGCCTACACTTTAATTCTAAGCAGTAAAAATAAAAAAAACAAGATTTACTAGGGCAGGTTTTCTATAATATAACTCAGTCAACATGTATTCTTAATATAAACTCTGATGCTTTCCCATCTAAAACTGTTAGACATTTAACTACTGCATACATCAATTATTATAGTATGTGTCCTCAAGGCACAAAAGGTTCAGGTCACCTGCTGGATATTTGTGAATGTGTCAACTTATGACATCTGCTGGTTGGGTGCAAAGTAAAGCCCAGGGAGATCTCTTTTTTGTTATCATCAAGGTACATATCACTGAAACAGCTCTGGGTTTAATTTTGTAAAAATATCAACAAAAAAATGTATATTTGTCTTGCACTTGAATGCTTCTTCAATCAGTTGCAAGCCATCTTTTGCTAATTAGTTACCCTCAAAGCGGGGGGGGCGACAAAATGACTTTTTCACCCCACATACGTTTTCTGCTGATTGTGGACACTGTCAAACAGAGAAAATAATTTAGATAAAATGTATAAAAATATAATTTATGCTACTCATTTAAGTCATCAAGTTAATCATACCTTTTTCTGAGCCAAGACATTAGCTGCAAGGAATATTTCACCAAAACATGACAATTTCTCTTTCAATTCCATAAGACTTACAGTGCCATTTAAAATACAAAAAAACAATACTAAAAGTGTATCAAATCACAACTAAAGCACACACTTTGGAGTATACAGTATACACTCTTGCATTGATGCACTTCTTTATACTCCTACGTTGCCAAATACACTGCTTCTGCAAACTGTTTTTATACTCACTTCTATGTCATTATTATCCAGTTTGTCTGATTAGTTTTACTTGCTGGCCCAACACTAGGCAAATTATATCTAATGTAGAGTGTCTTTGAGTGAGTGTTAACAGTAAAGTGTTGACCATTAGTTGTTAGTTTCTGCCCACAACAGATCTGCATCCCATGCAATCACAACACATAAAACCCAGCAGTCACCACAGTGACACATAGAGCAAAGGAAAATATGTTTTTCAAGATAAATGACCAAACCATCCCAATGTCCAAAGCTTACAAAAAGAAAAACAATATATGCAGTTTACACACGTTTCTGAAACACCCTATATCTGCAATTTCAAGAGTCAAGATTCAAAGGCTTTATTGTTATATAGTTACAATGTAGAAATTTAAATGAAAATCTTAAGACCCAAGCTCTTCCAACATTGCAACAAAGTTATATAGGACAAAAATATAGGCTGATTAGGATGGCAGAGTATTAACAAATGATGGAATGGATTTGGACAACAAAAAAATGGGCAGGTAAATCATTCAGTATACACATAATATGCAGATCAGGGTGTAAAGTTAGGTCTTGAACAGTTTAGCTATGTCTAAATTGAAAAAAAGGTTGTGTAGGCTTTCATCAAGTCGAATCGGTTTGTGTTATTTTTTACATAAAATGATTTTTTTTAGGGGACCATGCACAGTTTAAAACCCATATATAAAAATGTGATGCACAGTAACGCTTTTTAGCATTAACCTGAGAGTCATAGTCCCTTGATAATTGAAACAAAGACAGCACAATAACACTTAGTAAAGAGATAATACAAAGTTATACAACGAATAACACACAATAGTGCATCACAATGTTTGCTTGTTAGATAAAGGACAGTCATAAAGAAAAAAAAAGTGCTCTATTGGGCCTCACTACATTTGTCTTCTCTGACATGGTCACACCAGAGTTTTATTTAAGTCTTTGCATAGTCATCATTCCTAAGAAATTTGGTCAATTAAATCTATGTTGACATGCATCCTTTTTGTTTCGTTAGACCAACCGAGGACATACTTCTTAAAGGCCACAGTGGTCATGGGTGTAATACGTTTAACTGTGACATGATCATACATTTATCATTTAATGATTATTGTGTTTCAAGATCATGTAATACTAGTAATAGTAGTAAATGAGACAGTGTTTTCATTCTTGAAATATTCCCACTTAAACATAAACCATATTGTTCGGATTATTTTATGGTCATCTTCTCTATTAACAAACGCTTGTCAGAAATTATTTAAATGCTGCTACAGAAATTCAAATATTGTGTGAAATCCATTAAGAGGTACAGAGTACCTATATATTAGCAATTGCATCAGTTTATATTGTTTTCACAAATGTATTGGATATATTTTTATATTCTCTGTGTTTCCTTTAAAGTGTTACAGTCAACGCCGGTTTTCGTCTACCTGTGAATCAGTGTAGAAGACATGTACAATTTCCCCTATTCTTTTTGTAACCCAGCTACTTCATATTTCTGCCAGATCTTTAAAACTTTGTGACACTGTAATGATAACCCTGTTAACAATATCATGGCACAAGAACATGCTTTAGTGGTGAATCCCTGACCTCTATGTGTTCGTATAACAACCCTATACATCTGTGATGTTCATTAGGGATTATTTATCTGTTTTAAAGTATAAAAAAAACCTTGAATAACCTTACTTTTTGCTTGTGACACTGATAATGCTGTTAACACAAAACCCACTCATGAAGATATTGTTTACAGAAGTTAAAAGGGCTCCAATCCTTATTAAGATTTATTCCGTCATTCTCAAAGTTAAAATAAATATGTGTTTCAATGCTGTAGGTCAAGCACTTTGATAAGCACAGGTTCTGTTCTCAGAATACATTCATACAGTATTTCCTTGATCCCAACACTGCCCTTACATTATATGACCACAGGATGGCAGCAAAAGCTTATTTTGTTGAGACCATCTGATGAGGAGGCCCATGATTACAATAGAAGCTGGACTGGTTAACGTTAATAAGTAACCATACACAGAGCTATCACTGCCGCAGTCATGGGGCTGATCCAGCTGGCAACATTGATGTGTAAATGATCTTGCGGTTAATGTGATTATCTGACAAATACCTTTTTCTTTTGGAAAGTCATGGTGTCTTTGCCCTTGTAGGCCTTAATGGCATTAAATGCAGAATCAATCAGATCAAACATTACTGCCTTTTCTGCTTCATTCACTGGATTTTATGCTTTTTTTCACAGTGTTGTCCACTATGGCAAAACCTTCAAGAGAGACCAGGAGAGTTAAATTAGATTCCTAAGATTGTCGTTGTTTGACATAGCAATGAATTTAATGGAGTTGAAAGAACATTATTTCCCTCTGAAATGTGGTGGAGCAAAGGGGGAAGAAAAGGAAAGAAAGAACAAGTACCTACAATGTAGGCTTATTCACAGTACTTGAGTAAATGTACTTTCCACTACAGGTTAATAGTGAAAGGGTATGAATCAGTGGCGTAACTATCAACGGTGCAGCCGGTGCAACGCATCGGGGCCCAGAGCCGGCCAGGGTCCCATGCAAAATGGCATTGACCGGATCACGCAGTCTTCAAAGTAACCAAGCAACCTAAATTCATTTGTAATTTGTCTGTCCAATGACCTTGCTCCCTTTCATGTCATGTGATGCCTTGCGTGACGAGCGAACCGTTTAATCAACCTGTACTGTACTGTAGCTAGCAGCAGCAAGTTCGGCAGCATTATAAAAAATGTAACAGCTTGAGTGTATGTCCGTGCGTGTGTGAGCGCATCAGCGTGCGCTTATGTTTGGGGCGATGGGGGGCCCAATACAATATTTGCGCCGGGGCCAATCACAACCTTGTTACGCCACTGGTATGAATCCTTCAATCTATCGATCAACATACTTGTTTCCACTTGCTTGTCACCCTGGCAATTTAGGTTATTATGTCCCAGAGGTGGACGAAGTACTCAGATCTTGTACTTACGTAAAAGAAGATGTAACAAAGAGTAGCAATACTATGTTACAATTAGAGTCCTGCAATCAAATTGTTACTCAAGTAAAAGTACAAAAGTATTAGCATCAAAATATACTTAAAGTACCAAAAGTAAAAGTACTCATTATGCAGATATCCATTTTGGTACAATATAAATTACATGTTGTTCTTACAATTATTGATGCATTAATGTATTTATCATAGCTGGTAAAGGTGCAACTAGTTTGAATGACTTTGTATATGGTAGTTTGTGAATTTACTCCAGGTAAACTCAAGTCTTATTTGAGTGTTGATTATATTTCACATTATTAATCCATACCTGTAAAGTAACTAAAGGTATTAAATAAATGTAGTGGAGTAAAAGTATACTATTTACCTCTGAATTGTATAGAAGTACAAAGTAGCATATATTTAAATACTCAAGTAAAGTACAAGCATCTCAAATAAGTACAGTACTTACTACGTAAATCTACTTAGTTACTTTACACCGCTGCTATGTCGTTACACACACTACCTCTCTGGAAAGTGACTGCTTTTATGAGATTGTAAACACATAATATGATGCAGTAATAGATGTAATGCAAAATCATATTTTTAACTTGTCTCAGTTTTGTGCCAAGAGATGTGAAATGAGTCTTCACTACAGAAGTATACTGTATGTTGCCCTTTTGTTAAAACATCTTCTACCACTATTTGCAACTCTTTTATTGCTCTGTCATGTTCAGTCATTATATATTATTTGTGTAATTTTCACATACATTTAGCATATATACAAGGGAAAAACTGTTCCGTGTTGCTCTTTATTTCAAAACAGGAAAATGTAACATCAAAATTAATATTCAGTGGACATCATTTTTTCAAATGTACACTTTATTTTAAACAAAAGTACAAAAACAAACATCAGGTATTTACAATACTTGCATGGCAATGTTCACTTTCTTTGGTCATTCTTCCAATTTGATGGTTGTACACATGGTAGGCAACAAACAGCTAATTGGAGGTCTGAGATGATCACATGCTGAATCTATTATTCAAGCAGACCTTGGGCAACCTACTGACGACTCACAACTTAATTACATGTTTGTAAAGCCTGCAAGCAACTTAACAACGGTTTCAATCCAAGTTATGAATTATGTGACAATTATTGAATTTGCCTACCAGGAAATGTCATCTTGTACAATATAAATAGCAAAAAGAAAATAAATTCACATACTTCACAATTACATCCTGGGTTTGATACAGTTTCAAATTTAGTAAATGCTCCTGAAGGGACCAATTTTGTGACATGTACAGCTGCGCATATTCCATTGTATTCTATTTCTGACATTTCTGACATGAAAATATGAACCCGAGTGCACATGACAAACTGAAGCAGTTACAGGTAGATTTTCAAAAGAAGGCAAACATATAATGGCGGCTACTTTGACACAAACACCTTGTCTTCTTTGTGTGCTCCCTTACAAATGATCCCAGAGCTACAATCATACTTCAACACTGGTGAAGCACACACATATTAATCCACTTACAGCCTTCTGCCTAAAACATCCTTTCCCTGCTACAGGCTCAAGGACTTCTTCTTGCATGAAAACAAACAATGGCTTTATGTAAAACAATCTGTACAGCCAAATGATAGCCAGTTATATGAGGCGAGTTATGCTATACATTCTGTCAATAATCTACCCGTTTGTGGTATACAGTGGTTATGTTGAATGTACAGTCCTTTTGAAAAAAGAAACAGGCAGAAATGAGCTGAGTTTTGTTTGTTTCTCCCCTGGTTACTTTGCACACATTCAAAAACCAAAACCAACAAATCAGGTGATGCCAAAGAACCCTGTGGCACATCGCTTACGTCCTGCAACATGTAAATCATATTACCATCTATAACTAATGCAGAGTATAATATACCCAAAGCCCTTTCAGGAATTTCATCTCTATTTCAACATTTTTTTTATACCTGAATGAACAAACTGAAATCAATGCACAAATAAACAGATATACTACAGTGATGTTGAAGGCAGAGGGCTTTTGACTGTGATGGCGTGCAGCTAAGAAGCAATGGTGTCCCTCTGTCCCTGCTATGTCTCCAAGGGCCAAAGAGTCAGACTAATTCAGGCCTACACATCCTTACAGCAAAGGCAACTGGGCTAGTAGTTATTCTACTTGCATCAACTAACAAAACCCAAACTTATTTTTCCCCAAATTCCATTCTAACAAACATGAATCCTAAGAGTAGACAAGTTTACACATGTATCAGTAGTGCAGACAAGTTATGTATATCACATACAGTATCCATTCATCTTTTTTTTAGGATAGGAGGGGTGAGGAGCTCAGGTGGATTGAGGGGGTGGGGGGGGGGTGAGGGGGGTTGGATATGTAATTTTTGTCAAATGCTCCCTGATACCAAATCCAAATTGTTTTCATCCCAATGTACAGTCGTTGTTTTTTTCCCCCCCAAATAAGGAGGTGATGAGGAATGTGCAAAAGTTCCATGTTCTCACTAGAATGAAAAACAAATACAATAGATGTTATTTAAACAAGAATGACTGTTTGTATTTATTTCATTATTTATGCATTCATTATTTGGGGAAAGTGATGGAAACATGTTTTTACCTTTCACATTCCCACAGGATGGTTGCCATTTCTTTTACACCTCAGCTTTTTGGCTGTTCTCCTCCACTTTCTCCTCCAGTTTTTTCTCCTCCTCAGAAGAGCCGTTCTCCTTTTCCCCAGTCTTCCAGCTTCCTTGCCTGTTTAACATAAAACATTGTTACCTGACATGCTGACAAGCCTTTCCTCTATCGGTATTTGCAAGAAACCCAAACACTATATGGTATTATTGTGTGGACTTCACATGGACAGAATAATATCTTATGTCCACTAGCACTTAATGGAAGCTACGCATATTCCTGCACTTCGATTATTTACTTAAATTAGCAAGCTACAAGTTCATGATCAATCAATAGCTCAACGCCTTCATTTGGCAAATGCATGGTTGATTACTAAGTGGATAAAACAGACAACTGTGCCAAGACCGAAAGTTCAAAGCTGATTCACTGTGGTTAATTGTTGTTCATTAATTCAGTTAAAGGAATAGATGCAAACAAATCAACATTTATAGTGTGCACTCCATGTATATTTGGTGGGAACTTGGTGTAGAAGAGTAACGGAAGGGACAATCGATATCTGTTTATTTGCTTAATTGTTTTCTGCTGCAATAATACGTCTCAAATGTATACATCTATAGCTTCTAAAATATACCGAATAACATTTGTAAAAAGACAATTTAACCATGCACCTAAATAAAATAATAACGCACCTTTAGAAAAGCTAGGATCATTACGTAACAGCATAATCATTTTGTTGAAAGGTCAATGTTGACTACTTACTTGAATTTCTTCACGTAGACCAAGTAGGCCAGGCCTAAAACTAGAGTGGCGACGATGAGGGCGACAACAACTCCAACCACCAACTTGGTTTGGTCATTCTCATCTGTTTGAGCTGTAAGACAAAACAGGAACATGAGAGATCTGGGAGAAACATTCACTCAATATGAAACTTCAGCCTGACTGCATACTTATACAGGGAGGAAAAGAGTCATTATGTGCAATAAATGCATTGATGAATGGTCACATCCGCACTGCGTATGGTTATGACTCATTGACTTAAATGTTAATGACAGACATTCTTAGTTAGTGATTAATTTCATCAGCGGGATTAACGACAACGGGATTATGGACAATTTTGACATGTTGTCAGGATGCTGGTAGCTCCACTCCTCTTATTCCTTCATCTGTGTGTTTTATTAATGACTGAAAAAAGTGTCCAAAGATGATTTCAGTTTCAGATTCAGTTGTAGAGCCTAAGGCGAGGTTACAAACATTTAATCTTTCAATGCGCAACATTTTATTTCCCCATAGTCTTTAACTAACCCACCTTCCACCGATTCTTACAAGCAAGAAGACTGCTACAACTTACCTTTTTTATCCATTCTCACCTCCTCAATTACTGAAATCAGATATAAAATAAAATTAACTGCAAATCAAAATTTAAAAAAATGAAAGTAAACTTGAAGTCCAGAAAAGTTTAACCACTCTACTTCTATTCTACTTTTGCATGCAAGTACTGCAGTTCCAGAGAGGGAACAGATAAAGTCCAGCATCCCAACATATACACCACGCAGTGAAGGGGAAAAGAGAGGTGAAATGCTATCTCAAACACGCAGGAATGAGTAAGCAAGAGACAGCAAAGAATGATTTTAAAACGGCAGGCTTTGAGAAAACAGTGTGTACAAAGTGGTACATGCATGCATGAAGAAGATTGTTACAGTGATGATGTGAGAGAAGTAAGTTCTTTACTCAAGAATAAAATATGAAATACAAATTTCTACATGATGAATTAATGCTGTATGGGTGTATTCTTAAACATGTACCTCTTATTTTTGCCTGGTATGGACTAAAATGGTGTATTACTGTAGGTAACATCAAGTAAATATATCAGAAAGCTTTATGTCAGTTCATAAACATTTGTTTTTTATAGAAATAAATCTAACTGATACCCATTTTAATGTACATACCTACTAAATTATAGTAGTTAAAACATTTGAACAATAATGTAAAGTCAACATGCAGACAGAAAGAGTGAGTTAGCATTTTAGAAAAACATCTACAAAAGGAAGATCACTGAGTTAGTTTAGAGCAAAAAGCGGAGAGAGGCGAGTGGACTGTACTACCACGTTGTACTTACTGGATGACACATTTATAGTTTTGGTAGCCACGCCAAGTTCATTGGACACCGTACAAGAGACAGTCAGATTCTCAGTAGGCACCACTCTGATCTTTTGTGTTATCTTTCCATTGACAAAGGGACTCTCATCAATCTGAATGGTAAGGGAAAAAATACATTAGTATACGTTGGATTTCTAAACATGTCATGGCATGTGTTTTTTTGTAACACTAGGGGGCAACATTGGATTGATATGTGACTCAGCCTTTCCATGACAAAGACACCGCATGTGTGCCTCTGGGATAGACACTTGAGTCTCAGGGGAAAGCCCCAGACACAAAGACAAACTGCCAACACCCTATTTCAGGGTCTTCTACGTGTACAGTACAGGAAGATGTGGACATTTTGGCAATTAATGAGCCTGTGTTCATTCCTTTTCATTGCTATCTTTTGTGAATTAGGATGGGACGAGAGAACAAAAACATAAACTTTGACTGAATTGTAGTTTGTATGTTTTGTCCTTTAGTGAAAGGGTTGTGGAGTTGATTCATAATGACACACAGGTTTAAGTTTGGAGGTTAGATATTGACTGAAAGAGCTGAAAAATAGTCTAACCATCCTACACACACCCTCAGATTCACATGGAATTTAAAATGCTTCATTGAGCAGTTCTGCTATCAGTGCACACAGGTACACCACTGAGACAAAAGAGAAAATAAATGTCCAATTGGAAGCCATTGTCTTTGTGACAGTCTGTAGCGAAACACTGGGTTTCAGCCTCAGAGAAAATAAAGAAATGTTCTCTTTCGAAACACTGAGCTCACCTGTCTAGAAATGTTTGGAGTAGATAAGTGTGGTAGCCGGGGAAAATACTAACACTGCAAACTGCTCTGCACACAACAGGGAGGGAGAAGTCACTCAGTGGCACGGCAAGGCATGAACTGTCTCAGGGCCGAGACACTGAAAAGTCTCAGATCTTTTATCATAAGCTTAAACAGAGTCACACCTTCACATCTCTGCAGGTGATATTCATAGGTTTGTTTTGATGAAAATGCCATTAAATTGAAACAACTATAAGCATCTCAGTGGTTTGTCTTCACTGCTAAAGGAGCCATTAGTAGATTTCAGTGGAAGAAAAATACTTTTCGTTAAGAAGTTGTGTGATGTACCTAACACCTAAAATAACACTTTAATTAATCAAAAACGTTGTACCTGTGTAGATCCAGATGAAGCCAGATATTGTGTGCTGCACATAGAAATCATCTACAATATGCCTTGAATACTTTATGAACCATACTTAGACACTGCTGCCTAACTGCTGCAGTCACTGTACAGGAGGACCAAGGACAGAAGATGGATTTCTTTAACAACCAGTATTGATTTATCATTCAAAGAGTGACCGACAGAAACATTGAAAGCCTGCTGAAGGATCTCTTAAAAACGTAATTTGTCATTGGAGGCGGTCTTTTAATCGTGACATTCAGGACATATTTATGGACATAATATTATGCTATTGCGTGAAATCTTGAAATGGTTTCACATACCCGTATTTGATTTTTAACAGGATTTTTTTAAATTGTTACATGATAAAGGATAATGTCGCAAGAGTATGTATATGTGTGTGTGTGTGTGTGTGTGTGTGAGTGTGTGTGTGAGTGGGGGTGTGTGTGTGTGTGTGTGTGTGTGTGTGTGTGTGTGTGTGTGTGTGTGTGTGTGTGTGCATACCAGGGTGCCGTTGATGCTCCAGGAAATAGCTGGCTTTGGAGAACCTTCAGCCTTACAAATCAGTTCTTCATGTGTGCCGTCTTCGCCACGCTTTTTGGTCAGCTCTGTGATCACCGGAACACCTGCAACAGGACGTAACCCTTCAGATACATCTGAATGAGTGCACGTGTGGCGTGAATGGTTGCATTTCATTCAAGCACAGACACAGAGTTGTCTGATGAGGGATAGTTTGACATTTTGGAAAATACGCTTAATTGCTTTCCTGGATCAGATGATTGATACTACTTTTAGTTCTGTATGGTAGGTATTACGCTATGGCCAGCAGTTGGTTAGCGTAGCTTAGCATAAGGATTGGAAAGAGGGAAACAGCTAGAGTGGCTCTGTCCAAAAGTAACAAAATGTACCTAGCAGTAAGTACCCCAGTTTACCAATTAAACTTTGGGTTGTCTGAATGTTTAAACATCAGGATATACCAAGTTATTTAGGCTATGTTTTTAGGCTGATTATGTTACCTGAGCCCAAACCAAGGCTTGCTTATCCCTTTGTTTTCAGTATTCAAACTGAGAAAATCTTACCTGCTGCTTTGAGGCAAAAGTGGTATACATCTTCTCTAATCTAACTCTCAACAACAAGCTACTAATAATATATCCTAAAAGTTCTTACCTTCAACAGTCAGCTCAAGAGAGGCTTTTTGGTTGAGGAGCCCAAGCGTCACCTCACACTCATAGTGGCCAGAATCAGCAAACGTTAGCTTGGCAAACTTGGGCTCTTTGTCCAATTTAACATTGTCCTGTATCAAATGAAAAGGAAGGACCGTCAATAACAACCACACACTTTTCCTACTTGATTCAGGCTTTGTTGTATAAAAGATTGCTTTTACCTTTGTCCAGGAGACCTTTGTGTCTCCGGAGGAATCAATCTTGAGATTTGGATGCAATGCTTCACCGGCACTCTTGACGATATTTCCAGAGGGGATTAAGTTGATGTCTAGGTCTAACAAGAGAGGAGAGGGTTGTGAATAGATGGTTCAGAGGCCTGACAAGGGTTGAAACATTCCTGTCGTTAAACACACAACCCTGCACTTGGCTCAATGCCCTGCAGATGCAGCTTATTAGAGGCACTTTCCTTCACGAAACAAAAGGAAAAAAAACAGTAGGACTTTCTTTCATCTAGCAATAAACATAGCTATAAAGAAAATTACATGCGGGAAAGATAAATGTGCTGACAATCATGCTGGCTTGTGGCCAAACTGCATACTACACCATGTTTTGGTCCCTTACAGTTCACTGTGATTGCCTTGGATGCTTCCATTGTTGGGTCATCAACGAGTGAGCATTTGTATTCACCAGTGGTGTTGCGAGAGACATCAGTGATGGTGTAAGAATCAGCGTTTTCCACTTTCACCATCTCTCCCTTCAAAGACATACAATGGCGGGAGATTAGCCTCATTGAAAAAACAATAACACATTAAGCATGAATGGAAGACATCTCTGAGTGCCTCAATGAGATATTGATAAGCACCTGTACCTTAAGGTGGAAGTTAAAAGCGGTTGGAGCTGGGTTTCCATCAGCAACACACTTCAGGGTCATACTGTCTCCTTCCACCAGAGAGTCCTGACCAGTGACCTGAAGGATGAGGTTCTCTGTGGAGTCTGGGCAGAAAGTAGGAGATGGAAAGTCAGAGGGCTACTTAATGAGCATGTTCCCCTAACAGCTGACTTCAGAGACACACTGTGTCATCACACTACAGAGAGCTGTAGCTTTCTGCTTCAGCAGAGGTAAGACTCTTCACACTTCTTGTGAGAAAGTGTTACGACAGTGATACATTTGAATTTAAAATCTGCACTTAGCAGGTAGCATGAATATTTAATGCTGATTTAAAAAAAATTCTGTCACCATGAAAGTTATCCTTACTGTTTTCTTCTTTGTTGTACAAGTAGGAAAGAATGACATAAAAACTGTTCATATAGTCTGAAAAATAACAGCCTGTTTCCACTAACAATAGTTTGCATTGGTCTTTGTAATGAGCTTGCGGGTCAGGAGCTGCTGCTCATGTAGTCCTGCAAAGCCCAGCGAGATGTTGTGTGATGTTGAAAAACTTGACTTAAAATTAAAGTCAGGCTATTCAATAGCCTTATCTTATCTTATCTTATCTTTTACTCCAAAAAATGTAATAAAAATATGAGAAAATCACATCACAGTTAAAATAATCATACCCTGTTAAATAATCAAGGTTCATAATTGAAAAAATAACCACTGTTTCCCGATTCAAAAGTGAAAAGGGGAAAGAAAAAGCACAGAATTATTTTTTTAAATCAGCCTTGTATAACATGTTGTGATTGATTTTCTACAAGTGGAGAAACCGACTGGTGCTGTTTTTTTTGTAACCTTTCATGTTTCTGAAGAAATTGGACTGCATTCAGTCACAACCCACTGGCTTGAAATCTACAATGGTCTGTTTCTTTTTTTAAAACTTGAAATAGAATTTGAAATGTCTAACCTTCATCAGCATTTGGATGGCTACCAAAATACCCAGGGTGATGGTCAAGCACGAGATGCATGTGCCATATTTCGGTTGCCTTAGTAGTATCTTCTTTAGAAATATGATGATTACATAATTGTAGTTGCTAGCTTGCAGATGGGAGGATCGATACCACTCTAATATCTTCTCCATTAGATATAATTATATTGTGATAGACAGCTTAGCTCAGCAAAAAGCCTAGAAACATCCAGGCTGGCTCTGCGCAAAGTTAAACAATTCACCTCCTAGCAAATCTATAGCAAATCACCAATTAACAAGTTAACAAGTATTTATTCAATGTATACAAATAATATTTGGACATGCCAGGCTAGTTGTTTCCCTCTGTCCCAAGTCTTAATGCTAAAAGCTAAGCTAACTGGCTGTAGCGTTATCTTTACTGTGCTGACATCAGAAAGGTATTGTTCTTCTCATCTAACTCTCAGCAGGATTTTGTGTTATAGCAGCTTGAACAGTTTAGCAAGTGTTTTCAGGGCGGGTTGTTTGCGTGGCCTCTGGGACTCACAGGTGATACTGAAGGTTACTGGAGAGGACACGATCCCTGCGGCCAGAGTGTTCTTGGTGCTGCAGGTGAACACAGCGTCCGTGTCTTCCTTCTGTGCAGAGTACTCAAGTACGGAGGAGGTGGTCGAAAGGCCAGTCACATCGTTCACCAGCACCGAGGCCTGGATGGAAATCCCTAGACAGAAAACGAACAACTTTGTCTCAAAACTCTAACAAGGAAACAATGGTGTAGTGACCAAATCGCGGCATTCTCACTTGGCAGCACTGAAGAACAATGTATAGTAACTGTTTCAGTCAGAGAGAATAAATACATCTGTGTATGTAATATTTCTTAATGTCAACTCAAACCCTAAAGAGTTGTTTTGTTGCTATTACTAATTATAATCTTCCAACAGAATGAAGAATACACACCTTTTCCATCAGCTTTCAGAGTTGTGTTGTTTTTCAGCCATGTGATTTCTACCGCTGGATTGGAGTCCTTGGCAACACACTTTGCGAGCTAAGGTACACAAATAACACCTTTAAATCATAGCGAATACCTGCACACACATATTGAAAAACAATCACTGTTTAAAGCATGTCAAATAAATCTGCATCTCTTTAAGTGACTAAACATCTGAGCAAGTTAGCTTTTTGTAGCACCCTTCCGGCATTTGAGGACTTAGTTGTTTCTGCGCAACAGACCATGACCCGAGCTCTTCTAAAGCCACTCAGATCCTCTGGGTATTTTAATTGCAGTAAGGGGGATTCTGCTCTTTACTAATTCATGAGAATCACTTCAAAGAACTCATTACTGTAGTAACATGGCCTCAGCTATGCCTCAAGATACCTTTGCTCAAGTGCGGGATTTCCCTTGATGGGCTGCTGCTTAAAATAATGTATGTATAAGCAATGTTTATCATTAAAAACCCACCTTTGTAAGTTTGCCAATTTCTAGTTCCTCCGCTTTGTCAGAAATCTCCAGGCCTTCCGGCGTCTCTGCAATTCATAAAAAAGAGTGGGGAGTTAATGTGGGTGATTTGTATGCTGCAGTCAGTTATTAAACACCTCTACCAAAGAAATCCAAAAGAAGAGAAAGTTATTTAAGACGATAGAAGCTTGTACTCACTCTGAATCACCACATTAACTGGATATTCTGTGATGTCCACACCAGCCACCACCATGCAGGTGAAAGTGCGTTGGTCACTCAGCTTGGCGGCAGACAGAAGCAGGCTGGATTTTGCAGCCATGCTAACACGGCCCTTGTATTCATCAGTGGTCATGATGGAGACATTGTGGTCTTTCCGCTTGACCAGCAGGTCTCCTGAAAGACCCTCTCCTTTGTCCTGGAGAGAAAAGCAGAGTGCACTTGTTACATATCTGTCACATATGGCACTGGCATCCATTTCAAATTAAAAGCACACAGTGTTTGCCCCGATTCATGCATTTTATGTTATGAAGAGACAGATGCTTGGCACTGCATGTGCACTCAGACTGGGCGTGGTTCAGACATGATAAGTGGGTGTCAGACGGACTCCACCATTTTGAATCTATTGACCTCCACTGTGACTTACATATTTCCATTTAGTGATCATGACGTCCTCCTCTGCATTCACTGCTCCATAGTTGCACGGGATTTCCAGTGTTTCCCCATACAGGCCGATAACCGTCACCAAACCGCTGACTGCGAAAGAGAAAAGCAGAGACACCATTTTCAATTAGTTTTTTTAACAGGGTTAATCTGGTCAGCTCCAACATAGCATGACATTTTTTGAATGAAAAGTCAAATTTGTTATTATTGTGAGGGCTTCAAAGTCCCTTCTTTCTAATCATATTTGACTGGCCTACACTAATACCACTTAGTGCTCAGCTAAATACACTGAGAACAGCAGTTTCTATACAGTTCTGCTAATGTAACAACTCCCTTGGTAAAAAAAGAAAACCTCAAACATCGCCATGGAGACTAAGTGCTTGAGAGGGGGGATGGGATGAAGTGTCTCAATGGGCTGCAATGAGGGTTAGAGCCAAAGGGCTCTGGGGAAGAAGCGGCTGCCATGGCACGACTGAAAATGAGGTGCTGCTCAGTTTTTGGTATTCACATTCACCTCTGTGTGTTGCACGCACGAGTGGGTTCGTGGAGACGAAGATCTGACAGCTAAAACCCAAAACAGCTCATCAGCCAGTCAGTAAAGTGTGAGAAAACAAAGCAGTGGCCAAACCAACTTCCATCTGTCGGACAAATAATGTTTGTGGATTTTACAGGAAGAGTGCAAAACAATGAAGATGCTCAAATATTCTGCGTGTATTCATCCTCGAAATTGTCTGTTTATATTCATGCACGACAAAAAGACTACAACAAGTAAGATTTACACACGGCATCTATTGCACGTCTGTCCGTCCTGGGAGAGGGATCCCTCCTCTGTTGCTCTCCCTGAGGTTTCTCCCATTTTTCCCTTTAAACTGTGGGTTTTCTTCGGAAGTTTTTCCTTGTACGATGTGAGGGTCTAAGGCAGTGGTTCTCAAACTTTTTCTGTCAGGCCCCCCCCTTTCGAGAAAAAAAAAAGTCGGGCCCCCCCAACACAAATAGTCAGGCTCAGTAGCTCAGGTAGCTTGACGTTTCATAGAGGGTGCTCAAACATTTAGGGTTTCCCATTAATGTACCGGGCGCTACAGTGGAATTTTCTACTGCAACATTCCCCACGCATATACACAGTGTACCCGCGACTGTTACAATGAAGGCTCGATAATCAGCTCACGGCATATAGGTGTAAGCAGGGGTAAAGTGCTATTTTTATAGGTGGTGTGTGGACCTCACATAGGGGGGTCCGGGGGCAAGCTCCCCCGGGAAGATTTCATTTTTAAATATTGAAGTTAAATGCATCAATCTGGTGCACTTTGAGAGCAAAATGAAGAGATCTATGGATACATCTCTCAACACGTAATAATACTATACTGCATCATATTATTTTCGAATCAATAATTTTTAAAATTATGATTTTTTTTATTTTTTTTTAATCTTTTTTTTTTTTTAAACCATTTTTCCTCCTGGTCTCTCGCGCCCCCCCTGGCATGCCTCTGCGCCCCCCTGGGGGGGCGCGCCCCCCACTTTGAGAACCACTGGTCTAAGGACAGAGGGTGTCGTATTGTCATACTGATATTTTGTACAAACTGTAAAGTCCACTGAGACAAATGTAACATTTGTGATATTGGGCTATATAAATAAACATTGATTGATTGATTGATTGACTGCAATGCAACTGAAGGTTTAGTCTCACTTTCCCTCTTAACTCAGCAGACCTTTCCTCAAAGTGGAGCAAAGATGGGGCGGTTAATTCATTTGCTTTGTGCGTGATACTCATTTGAATCCCTTTGAATGAAAGTAGATACTTTTGCTATGGTTACCATTGTCTACATTGGGACAGAGTAACAACTGGGACCCTGAAGGCATATTTGCACAGTTGCTTGTGATTTAAGGATGAGCACAAGCATCTCCTGCGTCCTGCTCCGGCTGTTATGTTCCCGTCACGATAAACCCCCTCTTGTCTAGTGTCATTTTCACATAAAGACGATTAAACAAATGCATCAAATGCTTATGTACTTTTATGCAGCATTACTTTACTAAAGATACACAACAATGTCTGTGTTGACTCAAAGTTTGCCTCCAGTCAACACAGTCTGCTGTTAATGCCATCCTCCTGCCACTCAGCTGAACAAGTTCACTCCCGACACTTGTCACTCATCTTTATTAGCCGTCAGCTTCAAAACTAAATTTAGTCTAACCAGAGTCAGTAAAGCCTGTCAGTGAAGATGCCAAACAGACAATTTAATAATGGGATGTTTTACAGGTCATGTTTTGCTACCTTTTCTTTTCATTCTCATTCAACGCACGGCAAAAACAAATTTCAAACTATTTATTCAACAGCCACAATAGCTAACACTAACTGTCTGCTCTTGCACATACACAAGTAATATATTTCATTTCTTTACAAAAAGTGTTAATTTAAACAAAAATATTGAACTTAATACCATTTTTATAGGTTTCCTAATAAACTATAACACCTCTATAAAACTAGTTAGATTGCTGGATGCAAAAATATCAGCATTTATTTATTTACCAGGAAACAATAAACACACGGAGAACAAAATGGATATAAAAATGTATGTGGTCCACTGTTTGGTGATGACTAGAATAAGATCTTAAAGCTCTATCTGTGAGTATCAAAGCATTGTAACCCACACACAAAAAAAAAAACAGATACCGAAAGCCCATCACCCCCAGAGACACTATCCATGCATTTCAAAAAGGCTCGGGGATGTTTAACAGTGACAACACGGACAAAAAAAGCTCGCTACATTTCAACAGATGACAGTTGTACCAGGAATTCTTCACCAAAAACAGGGTACAGCTCTGTCACCTGTCAACTGCAGTGCAATTAAAATGACGGATTCCTCCAATTATTCATGATTTGCCACACCTTAAACCTACATTTAAATGATTTGAAAGCCTATTAAGAGTCTTTCTCCCATCCAGATTTGTACACCTCTGTCCGATCCACCGGAAATAGAAATGCAGATTGCTGGTGCGAACACAGCATGCCCATGTAGCTGTCCTACACTGCCTTGGTTTATCTTTCTGATGTACATTGCTTTTAATAGAACAGACTCTTGTGTTTGAATGGGCTTTAGGCAGAGAAGAGTGCACACACTAGGTGGAAAACAGGAAATGAAGACATGGTGAATCTATTAGGAGGATGGAGTTAATGAGCTCTCTGTGCAGGACCTGGGCACACGTTTTGCATATGTGTCAAGTCCTATGATATCATGCTGCATTTCATATTTAGTGTTACAGTGGCAACAATAATCTGTCAGTATCTAGATTATGTGCAGCACCAGCATAATATAATGTGTTCAGAATCTTGTTATGAATCACATTTGTCCTCGTTTGTTTTCCGGGTGTTCTCTCAGGAAAGAGTCCTGCACAACCTGGTCTTCCCAATCTTTCAATTGTTAAGTCAAAAGAGTGAGTTATATTCAGGTTACACTGCAAGAACTGCAGAGCCAGAAAGGTTATCGCACTTCCGGCCCCTACACACGGCGGCGTGCGTTACCGCTTGGCGGTGGGCGTGTCTGAAGCTTGGGGATTTTTTACGAACAACGCGACCAACAACCAATCACATGAATGTCCCGCCCCGGACATACAAAGCAAAGCATTCATGCTACATTCATGCTGGCTAAATATACTGTCTATGCTTGCTAGCTGTCCATTCAAACGAAGTACACTGGCTATAAACTCCCCAAACAGGCGAAAACCTACCAGTTTCACCCACTGTCTCTGCCACCTCCCCCCATGCCTGGCTCCTCCGGTTTGTATCCCTGTATGTAAAGAGGGACTGGTCATATAGTACCGGGTGATTCCCTAACGCCACGATAATTTCTTATGCTTGTACTGTCAGATTTGCATACGCGGGATTTGATTGGCTGACGCCTCCGTCGAGGCGGCAAAAGTAGAACATTGCTCTACTTTTGCAGCGAGCACCGCGAGAGAAGCTACGCTTTGCTCCCACAATGCAGTTCGGCGAATCGTGACGTCACCCCATTCCAGGTGAATGGGCAGAAGCGTTGAAGCGGCAACACACGCCGCCGTGTGTAGGGGCCGTTCCTGTAAAATAGACTCCTTCAATTTCAAATTCAAATTAGCCTTTTTGAATATTCAAATACAGCTGTGTTCAGCCTCTCTGAGAACTTTAGAAGAGTCTGTATTAAGGAAAAGGCTTTATCTGCACAGATTACACTGTTACACAATGAGAACTAATCGCACTTGTGGAGTTGCAGAAGACAAAAGCTCCTGCTGGTTACTGAGATAAGGTAATCCTTCGCCACAAATGTAGGTGAACAGTGTGACTTCACGTTTGCAATCACATGCAGGCCCACAATGCATACGGAAGTATTATCACTTGAGAAATGGTTACAGGGAGTCTAACTAAACCGTGTGCTTTGTTGTGTTTGGCCTTATTCTACGTCTACATTGCTCTACGTATTATTATTTAAAATAACAAGTGCATTGTGTATTTTTCCTTTTCTAACCTTATTAAAAAACAATATTGTAGAAAAGCATTGAGGCGATGTAAACCATTGTTATTGATTACAACAGATAAGGAAATATATTAGGTATTATATGTTATATTGAATTCACATGTATAAATAGAGCCTACACATGATTTTTGTTTGCCGAAGATCTTTCAAAGACGAGGTCATTTAGAGTCTGTCAATATTCATTATAATATAACTTGTGTTTTGAAGAGAGATGGTATTTGGGATTTGGTTTGAGTAGTGCTGTGTAAAATGCCCTTGTATAAAACCATGTTCAAAGCAGGGGTATCTGAGACTCAATAATCTTAAAACCCATCAGCTATCTGAATATCAATGATAAGAATTTGCGGGGGATTCCGGTCAATGAATTACGCCTCTTTGGCTCCCCACACAGCCTTTTTACCTGCGTTAAACCAAAGCACGTTTAAATGGGATTGATCGACACTACACATATTACTAATGGAAACAAAAGTGCTTCAAGCAACAAACTATTGCCCCATTCTGCAATCATATGCATAACCTGTGTTGTGGTGATACACCAAACTGAAGTATTGCGCCATTAAAAAAAATAATCTCAGCAGCAGCAGATTGGGG